ATATGAAAATATATATTTTTGTTATTATAAATACACATTTAAATATATATTTATATGTATAAAAACATAACAAAATATTTTTCTATATATTATATATTATTTTATATTTTTTTTTATTTATTTTTACTACCTTAAGAACTTTCTCTACCCAATCAAAATAATTTTTAAAAATTTAAAAAGCAACTGTTTAAGCTGGCAATTGGTTTATATATTCCAAATACAGCTTATATTTGATTTAGAAATGATAAGTTTGCTATTCTTAAAGAGCAAATTAAGAGCTTATAAAAGCAAAATCCTTGAATTTGTACCTCTTTTTTAGACATTTACATAGGAATTTAGAACTCACCACTTGGCATATCCTCTGGGCAGCTGTGATGGCTTGATTGATATATTGATTGATTGATTGACTTGGCACACACACTCACAAATCAAAGCACATGCTGGCCACACAATAATAATAAAAAAAAAGAGTTTAAGTAACACTGCACTTTTCCCCAGCTTCAGTTCGTTTTTCAAATATTAATTGTTAAAGTCTTCAAGTTGTTTTTGTTTTGTTTTGAATTCAAGTTTTGTTTTTCTCACAATATTTGTTGGTCAAGTCTTTTGTTTTGCTTGCGGTAAACGGCGGTGCTTTTTTCGAGGAGCACGGCACGTGCTGAACGAACAATGGTCGCGGCTTGTTTGAGTCTTCAGTCTGCAGTCTTCAGTCTGCAGTCTTTGGCTCAGCCAGCTAGCAGCAGCCGCAGCAGCAGAGCAGGAGAAAGAGAAAGAGACACAAGGCTAGGCTTTCGAAGAAAGAGAGAGAGAGAGAGAGGAGGAGGGTAGAGAGTTGTAGACCAGCTTGGCCAGCGGTCGCCGAAGAAATGTAAAAGCCAAAAGCAGCGGACCCCAAAGAAGTGCCAAGCGAGAAAGCTCTCTGGGCCAGGCCTTCTTCTTAATGGATACCCTATAAAAATATAGGATATATAGGGTTTACAGAGACTAGAAAAGCTTCTTAAATATTTTTAAATTTAAAAAATAAATTCTTTAAAAATGTAGCAGAGCTTTCTAAGCAATTTCTACATCATTTTTAGTTAGAAAATCTTAACCAAACAAAAACTGGGTATGTCCCTGATAAAAATATAGGGTATATAGGGTTTATAGACTCTAGAAATGATTATTAAATATTTTTAAATTTTTAAAATTAATTCTTTAAAAATGTAGAAGAGCTTTCCAAGCAATTTCTATATAATTTTCAGTTAGAAAATCTTAACCAAACAAAAACTGGGTATGTTTCTAAAGACAGGGTATGTCCCTGATAAAAAATAAAGGGTATATAGAGACTAGAAAAGCTTATTAAATATTTTAAAATTTAAAAAACTAAATTATTTAAAAACGTAGCAGAGCTTTCTAAGCAATTTCTACATCATTTTCAGTTAGAAAATCTTAACCAAACAAAAACTAAGTATGTCTCTGATAAAAATATAGGGTATATAGGGTTTATAGACTCTAGAAATGATTATTAAATATTTTTAAATTTTAAAAATAAATTATTTAAAAATGTAGAAGAGCTTTCTAAGCAATTTCTACAACATTTTCAATTAGAAAACCTTTGTAAACTAAAGCTGGCTAAATTTCTAAAGATAGGGTATCTCCCTCTTCGACTTAAAAACCTGCTTAGCTCTCTGTTTGATGTAAACATCTCAGATCTCGCTCGTGTGTATTGCCTCTCAGGTTGTATTTAGTTGATTTTTCGATGCGCTTTTTGCACATTGCTAGACTTTTTCTAGCTTGCCTGGAATTTCTTCTTTAACTTCATCTTAAAGCCGCCGCACTTGCTGTGGTGGGTATAATTTTATTCAATAGAATTTATGCTTTTTTATGGTCAAGCTGGCCGGCGTCATGCGCGGCAACCTCATCGCTGCTAACGGTTGTTTATGGCCAGTTTAAGGTTGTTTTTTTCCTGCATAATTGTTTCGAGTCGTTCGTTGCTCTTGGCTCTCTCGTAAGCTCATTTAAATGCAATCAATCAAAGACTTACGGCTAATTAGCCAACATCCCCATCGATGGACAATGCAATTTAATAGAATTATGAAAACACTTCATTAGCAATCAACGCTAATGAAGCCACCCTGTGTCCAGGTTCAAGCCCGGGAGTTCATCGAGTGCATCGAATCCCCCCGATCGATCGATATTAAATCGCTTTGATTATGTGCCAACATTGCCTGAACTCTCTAACTTTGAAATTACCACAAAATCTTAATTGTCAATGATTTCTCAATGATTTTATTTTACAAATTGATTTCGAGGCGGTTTCTCCATTATTGATTTTAATTTTAAAATTTATAAATTAAGAGTTGCATTTTTCAAAGCCCAAGGTTAGAGGTTTGTTTAATTGTTAACCCATATTTCACTTTTTAGTTCCAAGAGAAGCATTGAAAATTTACGCTTTCATTTGATTTCTTATAACGAATCCCAAAAAATTTCTTAATAATTATTTAAATTGAAATTTGTCCATATTTTTATAGGATAATTTTTTTTATAAATTAAAGTCTAAAAAAAACCATAACTAAATCAACAAAATATTAATTTTAATTGGGAAAGCGTTTCTGTATTAATATTAAAATTTAAAAAATAAACAAATGTTTGAATTTTTTACATTTTTAATTTTTAAAAAATGGGTAAGCAATATTTTAAATAAATCAAATTTTAAACAAATTATAACTAAGTTATTAAAACCGTAATTTCACATCGAAAAGCTTTGTTAAGCTAGTTTTTATATGATTAACAAAGCTGCAAACTAAATTTAATAAAAAAAAAAATTTTTAATTAAATTTTTAAAATTAAACACAAAGTACAAAATCTTTGGAACAAATCCAAGTTTCAAAAAATTAAAGCTTATTCAAAAAATTATTAATTTTATTTAAGAAAGCTTTGTTATCATAGTTTTGATTAGGTTAACAAATCTGCATTCTTATTTTAGCATTTTAAAATAGTTAAAATTAAAAAAAATATATTTTTTTAGAATTTTAACGATTTGAAAAAATAAAAAAATATATAATAAAATTTTTTTGGACAAATCAAAGTTTAAAAAAATCCTAACAAAGTCAAAAAATCATTATTTTTAAATTGGAAAACTTTTTTATGTTTATTTTTATTAGATTAACAAATCTGCATTTTTACTCTAAAATTTAAAAAATTCAAATTGTCAATTTGTATAATTTTTAACAATGTAATAATTATAAAATTTAAAAAAATTATGCATTTGTATTTTGGGAAAAAATCAAACTTTAAAAAATCTATAACTGTGGCAAAAATCTATAAAATTCAGTTCGTAAAGCAGGTTTGTCTTAGTTTTGAAGAGGTTAATAAATCTGCTTACTACTTTTTTTAAGTTTTTTAATTTTGATTTTTCATTAATTTTTGATAATTTTAACGATGTAACCCCTTAGAAAATTTGGAAAAAATGTATAAAATTTTTTTTGCTGCTAAACAAGGCTAGAAAGACTCAGCTTGTCTTGCTGATCAAGAATATTTATGGTTCATAGGATCGGAAATGAGTCCTTTCACTGTTTTATTAGCTTTTGATTGAAATTAGGATACCCTGTAAGGGTAATCTGGACCTTGATGCATCTCTCTTGTTTATAAAAATATATATAAAAAATAAATAATAATAATAATACAATCTAGAAAATTGACATAAAAGTCTCGTTTGAGATGAAATTTCAGCATTAAAGCCTCTTTAAAGCTCAAAAGTAAGAAAAAACATAGGAAAAATGATAAACTTCCCCGAAAACTCTCAATAATTCAGAGTTTTTCAGCTTTCTTGCTAAAAATGAAGACTATAAATAATCTTAAGGACATTAGAACTTGATCCCCCCACTTATTTCTATACATTTTAAAATTTTGAAGAAAGCTTCTTGAGCAAGTTACTCACCGAATGGCCGCCGGCTGATGATGATTGGCCAGCATCCGCATGCTGCCTCCGAATCTGTGATGCTGCTGCTGCTGCTGCTCCTGATCCGCCACATTCATATTCCTGCTGATCTGACTGATGCGACTCATCCGGCTGGCATGCGATCCCCGCTCCGAGTTGCATTTGGAGCCGCACAGCGAATTCTCGCAGAAGCGACAGCACTTGTTGTAGCTGAACGTGGAGGTGCATAGAGTGCAAAAAGAGTCCAGCTGCGATTCGGCCGGATCGTCATCGTCCTGGTCGTCATCGTGCTCCTCCCGCTCAGCGGCCATGTCCATTTCGTGCTGATGTCGCAGCTTTAAAGTTCGAGTGTGACTGCTGTGATCCTCATCAGAGCAAAAGTATTCGGTCTCCTGTGCCTCCTCCTCCTCGTCGTCGTCATCATCATCCTCGCCAAGGCTGCTGCCGGCACTGCCCTCGTTACCGCCTCCTTGGGAAGCACCAAAGCTGCTCAACGGACACGAGGGATAGCGGGTGAGGGGAAAGGGCCGAAGACTGTACTTGCTGGCCATGGACAGGTTCTCATTGAAATAGATCACATTGCCCGGCGCAGCACGCTCTCGCTCTCGGTCCCGTTCGCGATTCCTTTCCCGGTCCAGCTCCCGATCCCGGCTGATGCTAAGGTCATGGTACTTGCGCAGGAAGGCCGCATTGCAGTCGGCGGCGGTGTATTCGTGCAGTTTTTTGGGTTTGTGGGCGGGCGCCGGCGGCACGTGATGTTGTGTGTGATGGTGGTGGTGGCTGTTGCTGTGACTGGAGTTGCTGCTGTTGCCGTTGTTGTTATTGTTATTGTTGCCGCCGGAGCGCAGCAGATCAAAGAGGCGCTGCTTGAGGTCGCGCATGGCGACATGGGGCAGGAAAATCCAACGGAATTCTGCAAGCAAAACATAAACAAAGACATTTTGAAATTTTATTTCCACCACAATTGCAACAGGGCTGCCAACTTGGTTGGAGACTAACAGCTGATTAGCGGGGTTTCAAACCAAGTTATCGATTGCTTTTGTTCGAGTCCGCGCTAAAAGCCAGCAGAGCTGCCAATCTGTTGGCATTTTATTCTAAACACAGCGCGGTCACACTTGATCTACTTGTAAATTAAAAAACGTAAAACGTAAAAACATCTTTTGTCTGTGATCAAAATTAGCCTAGTTAAAGCAGGTAAATATAACAAAACAAGTCATTTACGTACAGCCTAGTGTCCTAGCTAACCACTGACCCCTTTCAGAACCCAACTAGTACAAAGATGAGCAGCCAGCGCGGCAATGTGAGCCGCACACGTGCCCAGAAACACAAAAATCGCTTCGTCTTCAAGAACGATCTGCACGACAAGACGCCCCAACAGATCCGTCTCAATGCCATGCACGTGTCCACCGTGTGCCAGCGTTGCAAGGAGCAAATCGAATGGAAGATCAAGTACAAAAAGTACAAGCCACTGACCCAGGCCAAGACCTGTGCCCACTGCCATCAGCGTACGGTGCGCAAGGCTTACCATGTCATCTGCAAGGATTGTGCCGTCAAGGCCAAGTGCTGTGCCAAGTGCCTCAAGTCCGCCGACGAGGTGTCCATTGAGGCTCCCGGGCCAACGCCACGCGAGGAGCAGCAACTTCAGGTGGAAATGGATCGCCTGATCAAGTCTTTTTCGGAGCGCAAGCGTCGCGCCTTTCTGCGCTACATGCAAAAGGGCAAGAAGCAGGAGCAGGTGGATGAGCAGGAGCTGGAGGCCCAGGAGAAGGCCAAGCGGGTGGCACACACGCGCGATGAGCTGCTGGACAAGATTAAGCAGCTGAATTTGGCCGAGGAGGATGACGAGGAGTTTGACGATGAGGAGGAGGAGGATGATGATGACTCGGAGTTTGATTCCGAGGCGGAAGAGGAGGAGGAGGATGATGAGAGTGAAGAGGAGGAGCAGCAAAAGCCCACTAAGGCCAAATAAACGTTTAAAGCTGAAACTAGTCTCTACTTTTCTGTGTGGTGGGTTTACAGTAGGAGGAGCAGTTGGGGAGCAGGGAGAACAAGTGGGTTCTTCACTATGGACACTGAGCAGCTCCTGAATACTGAAAATCCTAGTTTTTTTAAGCCAGAAATCCTGTTTAATCTTGAAACGAAAATGAGGGGGATAGCATGCCATGCCGTTTTTTAGGGTATTTTTGCCCAAACTCTGTATGGTCACACTAGTCAAAGGCGAGCATTTGGAAAACTCGGGAAAAACTGCTCTGTAAACCAAAATCATAAATAACTTACAATGGCAGACAAAAGTACCAGTGCTACTAAAGGCCGCCGTCGCAGGCACAAACTAAAGAATGGAGGAGCACCTCCTCCGGAACGCCCGAAAACCCGAAAAACTGAACCCGCTAAAGCCGAACCGGCGCTCACCTCGCAGGTTGTAAAGACGCTGCGCCAGCTGGTCACCGATTTCAAGCTTAGCGGCGAGCACGAGCGTCAATTGTTTAACTTGTCCAAGGCGGAACGCAGCCAGGTGCACTTCATGGCCCTGTCCATGGGCCTAAAGACGGCCAGCAAGGGACCCGTCAACGAGCGAGTGCTCACTATGACGCGTCCGCAAGGGTCCCTGAATACCCAGGAGCATCTAAGCGGGGCACGTCTTTGGATTAGCACGCAGGTGATGGAGTTGCTTAAGCAGGCTCAGCCGCAAGTGGAGCGTATGCTTCAGGCCAGCAGCCAAAGGCGCAACTTCACCGAACGTAGAAGCCATCACCAGGTTGGAAGACCCAGCAACTTTGGCCTGATTGGTCAGAAGCTGGTGCCTCCAGAGCAGCAGCGCCAACCCCATAGTTCGATGATGGAGGATCGCCGGAATCTGCCCATCTATGGACACCGAACGAGGATACTGAAAGCCATGCAGAGCGAGCGGGTAAGGGGGATCATACTGGCCAGGTATGGCTTTGCTTTAGCTGCTTTCTCTTCCTCTTTAGGTTGTGATTATCCAAGGAGCCACTGGCTCCGGGAAATCCACACAGGTTCCCCAATACATCTTGGAATCTGCTGCCCAGCATCGCTTACCTGTGAAAATTGTTGTCAGTCAGCCGCGTCGCATAGCAGCCACAACTGTTTCCGAGCGCATAGCCCATGAGCGGGGCGAGATGCTGGGCTCCACTGTGGGTTACCAAATCAGGATGATCAGTAAGTTTGGGTTTCTAAACATCACTAGACACGTTTTAACCACCTCTCCCTCCATCCTTCCCTTAGAAAAGTGCAGCAAAAACACCGTGCTCACCCTAACCACCAGTGGCTGTCTCCTCCGTGTCCTGGCCATGGAGGGCAAGTCCTTCTTTAGGCATACCACACACCTTATCATTGACGAAGTCCACGAGAGGGATTTAGATACGGATTTCTTATTGCTTGCCACCAAGCTGGCTCTAGAGGGCAATCCAAATCTTCGACTGGTTTTGATGTCAGCCACCATGGATCTGGATGCCTTGTCCTCATACTTTGGCCAGGCTATGGTTATAGATGTGGAGGGTCGAAGCTTTAGTGTAACAACCTGGCACTTGGAGGATATTCTGCGAGAAACTGCCTATTTGACTTGGGAAATGGAGGAATATCTGGGCGAGATCACGGGCTATGAAGAGGATCATGAACTGCTGGCTGCCTACGAACACAAACGCAACGAATCAGATCCACAAATAGACTCTAACCTGCTAGTTTCCCTGGTGGAAGTGCTGATAAGATCAGGGCAAAAGGGTGCCGTGATTGTGTACGTTGCTGGCTACTCTGACATGGTCACGCAAATGGAGCGACTGGAGTCTTGCCTGCCACAGGATAAGATCAAGGTTCTAATGATGCACAGCCAGTTGGATAGCCATGAGATGCGCAAGGTGTTCCACATTTACGATGAGCAACTAAAGGTCATATTGAGCACAAATGTAGGCCAGACCTCAATCACCATTCCCGATTTGCTGTTTGTCATCGATACGGGTCGCGCCAAGATGAATACCTATGATGCCACCACAGATGCCTCGCAGTTGTGCACTGCTTGGATCTCCCAAGCAGATGCCCAGCAAAGGGCTGGAAGAGCAGGACGCTTGTGTCATGGCATTTGCTATCGCCTCTATAGCAGTCAACGCTTTAACCAGATGAGTCAGTATCCCATACCGGAGATTAGGCGTCGCACTTTGGATGAAATCTGTCTGATGACCAAGGTGGTGGCTCCACAGCAAAAGATAGCCAGATTTTTGTCCCTAGCCTTGGATCCGCCACAACCGGAGGCTGTTTTGCTGGCCTGTTCGAGGTTACAGAAACTAGGAATCCTTGAGGAAACAGAGAAGATTACCCCCCTGGGCCGCCTCATAGCAGAGCTACCTTTGGGTGTACAACTAGGCAAGTTTCTCATCTATTCCCTGTACTTTAGATGCCTGGGCAGCGCTGTTATCATAGCAGCCTATCATTCGGTGAGTGAACCCTTTGTCCTACCCGCCAATGCTGATCGAAACCAGAAGTTGGCCGCCCTAAACTCACGGGATCAGTTTGTGGGCAGCACCATGAGCGATTCACTGGCCATTTTAAAGTTGTACAAGGACTTTAACAGCTTGCAACGCCACAAGATAGCCAGGTTTTGTGAGGATAACTATGTGTGCCGGCACTCCATGGAGATGTTTATCTCGGCAGTGCGCAGTCTACGCGAATCGGTGCTAAGAATGTTTCAACTCACTGCGGCCACTGAAAGTTTGGTTAGCTCCTTTGACGAGGACCATAACATGATCCGTTTGGCTCTTACCGCCGGCCTCTATCCCAAGTTGGCTTACATTGATAGAGACAAGAGGGGACAGCTGCTGAGTGATGGGGATTCGTTCATGCAGATATCGCGCAGCTCTTGTTTGCTGCGCAACAGGAAACTAAAATCCCTGCCCAACGATTGGGTTCTGTTTGTTGAGAAGAAACTCACAGCTGGCGGCCACTTCTCCACGCTAGAGCACACTACCCTGGTTAGTAGCCTCACAGTGGCTCTGGCGGCGGGCAAAGAATTCTCTTTGAATTCGCACAACTCTGGGTACTCGCAACTCTGCCTGGACACTTGGATTCGGCTTAGTTGCCCCACTGAGTTTGGCCAGCAACTGATACGACTGCGAGAGTTGATAGAGCGCGAGGTGGCTGAGCTTGTGGAGACGCGCAGGGCGTGCTCCGCAGAACAATGGCTGGGACCAAAGTTGGCCAGGGAATTGTTGGGGAGGCAGCCGGAGGACTTGCTAGATCTGTGATAATAGATAAAAGGAGGCAAGGGAGGGAGGAGGGAGGGTACATTGCAAATTAGGTATTCCTGAGCCAGGAAGAGGCTGTTTGAACGATTCCAAGAAGCTGGCCAATCAGTATTTGTTTTTCTCAGTGAGTTTCTAAAGAACAAGACAGCAAAGGGACAGCCTAATGTACCTGTTTGATAGGACACCAAAACCTAAAAAAACTTGGGTTATTATGGGTTATTTTTGTAGCTTCTTTAAAAAATATATTTCCCATTATTAGATTTGTATTTTGAATAAGTTAAAAGTTTAAAAAATATATAGCCAACTTACTAGGCTTGGGAATTTATAGGAAATTTCCCTTACTAGGCTTGGGTATTTTCAGAATATTTTCCAGGATTTAAAAACCCACTTAATGGGACATTTTCCTGCCCTTTAAAGACATTTCCCCAAATCAGATTTGAACTGGGAATTAGTCACTTAAGTTAAACTTTTCCTAGAAATTTTAACAGCCTAAAAAAAATCTAAGAAAATCGCGTTATAATTTGAAAAGGCTTGGGTATTTATGGGAAATTTTCCTGCCCTTTAAAAACATTTTCCCAAATCAGATTTGAACTTTACTTCAGCTAAACTTTTTCTAGATACTTTAACAGCTTAAAAATATGTAAGAAAATCGCAGTATATATAATTATTATTAAAACACAATTATTTGAGAAGGCTTTACATGGATCCATGTTGTGATATATGTTAGGAGAAAACACTACCATCATTTCAACCACCTAGACTGACCATTGACCTCTCATTCCTTAAAAGGTATTAATTGATATAAATTGAATATAGCTTATAGGAAATCATTAGTTTTGAAACGCACTGTAGGCAGAACACAGAGAAAAACCAGGGATTACAATTAAGAGTTTTGAGTTAAATATAAGTTACTACCACAAAAATTGAGCTGGAAATATGAAATGTTTAGCTATATCATAATTTTTGAAGAAGTTTAAAAAAAAAATTATAAGTTTTTATAAAAAAAAATGTTGAATAATTATTATTTTTTAATTTTATATAAAAATGGTTTAAAATAGTTTCTCTTTTCTTAGTTTTTAAAATAATAATGGAAAATAATAAAATTATTCTCCAATTTTTATTTCAAAAAATTGAAAATAACAGTTATTTTTCAATTTTTATTATTAAATTGAAAATAAAAAAATGAAAAGTCATTACGATTTAATTTTTTATTTGAACATTTCATTTTTATTTCAAATATTATTTAAAAAAAAAAACAGTTATGGAACGACTTGTTTATAAAAATTAAAAAAAATATTAATAATAAGAATTAAATTCAATTTGTTTTCTAGATAGAAATTAGAAAATACTCTTTTTTTTTTAAATATTAAATAAAATATTAAAATAAAAAAATGAAAAGTCATTACGATTTAATTTTTTATTTGAACATTTCATTTTCATTTCAAATATTATTAAAAAACAGTTATGAAACGACTTGTATATAAAAATTAAAAAAAATATTAATAATAAGAATTAAATTCAATTTGTTTTCTAGAAATTAGAAAATATTCTTTTTTTTTTTTAAATATTATTTTAAAAATTTGAAAATAAAACCAGTTATGAATCGACTTGTATGTAAAAAAAAAATAAAATAATTATAATAATAATAAGAATTAAATTCAATTTGTTTTCTATATAATAAGAAAATACTCTTATTTTTTCAAATATTATTTTAAAAATTGAAAAAAAAAACAATTATGAAACGACTTGTATATAAAAATTTAAAAAAAATTAAGAAATTAATAATAAGAATTAAATTCAATTTGTTTTCTATATAGAAATTAGAAAAAACTCTTATTTTATGAATTTTGAAATGTAAAAATACAACTGTTACGTTCCCTGAGAAAAACACAACACAACACAAAACCAAAAAAATAAAAGAAAAAACCAAACCAAAAATATTAATTTCATTTGGAGAGTGCAATTACGGCCACTCCCTAATTGCTGGGTGGAAAATATGTGGCCCACAAGACGCGGCTCTGTGTCGATGTCAGTGTCAGCTGTGCAACCTGCAACCTGCAGCCTGTTGCCGCCCTGCGGTGCATTGGGCCATGGCAAGCATCAAAAGCTGGCGTTTATGCTCCACTGCCACCTGTCCCACCTTGCCAGCCCCACCTGCCGCCTCCCACTGCCCATTCAGGCGCAAACAAGAGTAAAAAAAATATGGTTAATTGCACAGACAACGCAGTCAATAAACCTGAAGTCGGGCTTGTCGCTGCTGCAGCAGCAACAATGGTAAAATACAAAAAGAAAAAGACACCAGGTAAAGCAACAAAAAATACAACAAAAGACGGGGCAGCTTACTGCAAAGAAAGTGAAATTAATTTGTTATTTTTTTTTCGGTTTATTGTGGCTCTTTGAGCGATGTCTTTGAAGGTTGGGTGAGAGCATTGCCAATCGCCCTAACCGAAAGGAAATTGCTCTAGAAAATACAATTGAACGGCATTCCGGGGAATATCTAACTATAAATTAGAGTTTAAATATAACTCGTTAAATTCAGTTTTAGCGTGTGTCTTTCAAATATTATTATTTATTAATTATTAGTTTTTTATTAGATTTGTATATTATTTTTTTTTTTTTTTTTGTATATATATTTTTTTAATTTTATATTATTTTATTATATTTCTTTACTATTTTTATTTTTTTAATATATTTATATATATTTTTAATATGTTTTTATTATATTTGTGTATTTAACAAAATTTTTTATACATTTTATTGTTTATATATTTTTTCTATACATTTTATAATTTATATATTATGTTTTTTCATTATTTTATTTATTTATTTATTTATTTATATTTTTTAATATATTTTATTTATTTAAATATTATTTTTATAATTTTTTATATATTTTTAAAGTGTTTTTATTATAATTGTATATTATTTAAAAAATTTTAAATATATTTTATTGTTTAAATATTATTTGTATTATTTTTTATATATTTTTTGAGTGTCTCAGATACACTTACATTATCTTTTAAGGGATTTTAGTCATAAAAATTGGACTTAAGATAAGTTTATAATTTAAACAAGATTTTTTAAACAAACAAATTCTTTTTAAATTGAAAATTAGTGAAAAATAATAAGAAAAGGTAATAAACATATTAAAGAAACAAATACTTTAAATATTAAAAATTAAAGCTATATTTAAAAATGCTGAAAGAAAAGGTAAAACAATAATTAGAAAAGCTAATTTAAAATTAAAAAAAATATATTTAGAATTAAAACTTGTTTTAAAAAGTTGGTAAAGTTAAAAAAAATTTTAATAATATAAATTTATGAGTTTTAAGGATCTTTTCCTCTTCCTTTTCAAAACTAAATCACTTTTTGTGTAACTTTAAAGGAGAAATATAAATAAAAATTCCAGTCTTAAGAATTAATTAGTTTTATTTAAGACTTTTATGGCTTTATGTTAAGTATAATTAATGTACAACCCACTATAAATAATTATTAGATGTTAGCAGGATCAATCAAAATTATAAATCAATTTGTTTTTCTCCATATTTTCCCCGCTTTTTGCAAGATGAAAAGCCTAGAACTCCGCCAGTTGATTTGGAAATTCTTTTCACAGCAAAAAAACCTGGCAATCTGGCACTCATCAGTGGGAATTGCGGGAAATCACAGATGAAGTTGCAGTTTTTTTCATAGATTCTTATACACTTTTCCCGCAATTTGGGGGGCTAACGGAGAATACCAGAGGAGGAGGAGTAGGAAAAGCTATGACTGCAAATCAATTTTCCCAAATGACTTGCCTGACCATTGTCAATGAACCCCCCCAAGAGCAGTTGGAGCTTTTGCAATCTCGCCTATGCTATGTGCTCTCGAAATCAAATGAAGTCAAATGGCCCCGGACTAATGGATCCACAATAAACCTGGCTAACAAGTGGCCTCCTCCGTTGGGGAAGCCAGTTGAATGCACTCTCGCGCCATCCACTGCGATTCAAATGGACGCCGTTGCTGGTAACCAGCTACTAGCTCCTGGTAGGTGTGATCTTGGCTTAAAGCTGGAGAAGATCTAACTTTCAGGTACCTTTAACTACAACCTTGCTGGAAATATGTGTAGATATATTGAAACCAAGACGATGAAATGCCAGCTAATGACGGGGGCCCTGATCGCCTGATTGATGGTCAGGTGGATGGATGGATGTCTGTCTTTCGCCAGCTAACAGTTACATAATTAACCGAAAATTGATTTCGCAAAAACAAAAAAATGCCGCCAGTGCTAAGATGCTCCCAATCCAGCTCTCAGCTCTCAGCTCTTAGCTCCCACCGACCCAAGATCCCCATTGCCTCTGGCTGGCAGATGACATCATCTCTCATCATCCATTGGCATAACCATTGGACTGCAATAATCCCAGACATCTCTCGGTGTGGCACGGAATGCGTTTCGGTAATTCCAAACTTCAGGGAATGATCATAAATATGCACATACCGGCTGGTTAGGGCAGGGATTTGGATCTGAAAATCGCTGAGATCACGCCAGTTGCATTGGGTGAAAGTCGTTGGGGTTCACGGGTCAAATCAATCAGGCTGGGCGGTGACCTGCTGCTGCTGCTGCTGGAAAGAAAAACCAAAACCCAAACAGCCAGTTTACCCTTTATATTTTTTTGTCTCGAGAGCAACACCTTTCCAAAACAACGCCTAATTATGTCATTAAAAAATGCTTGGCTTTTGTGCGTGTGCTTTTTTAATGACGATTTTGTGAGAAGCTGGCCAGCAATTATAATTTAAATATGATCTAACTGAGGTGTTGAAAAAGAAATAGTATAATGTTGTCATTATTTGTTATTTGTTGCTATTAAGAAAAACCATTCGATGGGGTGGAGGGGAAAATTCAATTTTTGGCAAGGTTTTTATATAGGATTATAATCTTAAAACAATTTAAATAATTAAAAAAATATATTTTAAATAATTTTTTATTAACAAAAAATATTTTAAATAAAAAATAAAGTAAAATATAATTATGGGAAAATTTTAAAATGCAAAAAAAATAGGTTTTACCTTCTTTAAGCTCTAATAGATAACAAGTTTTGATTTAAAAAATATTTAAAAAATAAAAAAAAGCTCCTTTAAATTCTTTTAAATTTAGCTAGATTTTTTTACATAAAATTGTCTATGATATTTCCCCATAAATATAATATTTCCCAACGGAAAGCCCTTTTAGCAGCTTCAAGTTCTGATTAGCAATAAATTTTAATCTAAAATAAATATTAAAAATATCAAAAATAAACTCTTTTAAATTCTAATAATTATTGCTTATTTTTAACTTAAATTTTGTAATAAATATTCTGCATATTATTTCCCAATAAATATAATATTTCCCATTGGAAAGCTCTTTACCTTCTTCAAGTTTTATTTAACAACAAATTTTGTTCTAAAAAATATTCCAAATTTATAAAAATTCCATTAAATATTTCTAGATTCTTACTTAATTTATTTTACCCAAAATTATCTTAGATTTTTCCTCATAAATATAATATTTCCCATCGAAAAAAGGGGTTATATCGGCGACCCATGACGAACCCAAAAAAATAAAAAAAAACTGTGGTAAAAGTGAAGTCATGTGCGAGTCATTGGGAAGCCGAAAAAAAAGTAAAAGCCGAAACGAGAGTGAAGTGATGGCAAGCACGCTGGTCGGCCAACAAACTGGTCGTGATCCGCATTTGGCCATGGCCAGCAACTTTAACCAGAAACCGGCGGCGACGGCGGCAGCAAACATCCACATCAGGAGCCGGAAACTGGCTCAGGTTGTGACCCGATGCGGAAGTCACCAAGACAATCAATCAATATCTCGGCGATTCATCATTATTTATGCACGATTCCGCATATAACATAACATAGATGTATGTATATGGTGTAACATCTGCCTTTTGTTTCGTTTGTCACAACAATCATAATGACAAGCCCCAATATTTTGCCATTTCTTTTTCTCATTTGCAGTCATTAAAGTGCCACAAAAAAATACAAAAAAATAAAAACAGGCAAAACAAAGAGCATTTCTTTTTTTGGCAGTTCCCCCCGAAAACTGATAATCCATGTTTATTTCTCTATTTATATAAGCCCGAGGTGCAAAATTGCAACAGCCACATAGGCGATTACAGCCGGAGGCGTGGCAACAACGGCGCCAATCAGTGGCAACAACAGCGATAACATGGCCAGCAGCAGCATTGGCAACATCAGCAGCAACATCTGCAACATCTGCAACATAGACATAGGCAACATCAACGACTATCAGGCGTATCGATGGCCAGTGGCTATGGCAACTCCATTAAACACTTAAAAAATTACAAAAAAATAATACATTTGCACTTAAAAAATATGTTAAAAAAAATATAAAATCAAATATAGATATCATATAATTTTAGGAATTTTGTAAAGGTTTATATTTTAAGCAATATTTGATTTAAGCTTGAATTCATAGACTTTTCTTATAAATATTTAGGTGATTAATTTCTTAAATTTATTTTGGGTTTTTATATATAAAATATGTATATAAATTTATAAATATAATATATAAAATATATAAATTTATATAAAATACATATCATAGAAATTATCTAACATATATATATTTTTTTAAATTTATTTATTTTATTTATTCCCAGTGTAACGTATTTTAATTTATTATTTATTTTAATTTCTTATAATTTAGCATTTATTTTAATTTAATATTTATTTTAATGCTTTATTTTACTCATTACTTTATTTATTTATTTATTTTTTATTCATTTATTTTTTTTATTGTTTATTTATTTTATTTATTCCCAGTGTAAATTGGTAAAACGCACGACAGCCAAGTCAACTAACTGCACAAACGGCAAACACTCACGGCCAAGTCAAGAGCCTCCTGCCTCAGCCTCCTGCCTCAGCCTCCTACCTCAACTTCGGTCTTGGTCTTGGTCTTGGTCTCTGTCTCGGCCTCGTCGCTGGTCAAGCGCCAATTGAGATGTGACAGGTTGTCTTGGCCAGGCTTTTCCGACTACCTGCTACCAGCGTCCGTCCGTCCGTCCGTCCGTCCATCCACCTTCTCCAACATTTTTCCCGTACAAAAGGTCATTCGAATCCAGTGCACAAATGAAAAGCTGGATTAGGCACTTGAAGACAGAGAGAGAGAGGTGAATTGCCTGTCACGACTCTAAACATATAGCCCCTTTAATCTGCCAAGTTTTAATTTACCCTGTCTGCTTATACAATTGTTTATTATTTATATTTATTTATTTACATAGAAAATGGAAGAAAAAGCAGGATAAATATGGAATTATAAAGTCTACTCCTTGGTAAGCAACGGTTTTAAGATTTGTTTTTTCTCGAAAAAGACAGACAGTGATGAATCTCCTTCTTAAAAGGAATATTCTGGGTCAGGAGAGCATTCAATTAAAATGCAAATTAATTTGGGTTTTATTTTAAATATTATAAATAGGTGAGAAAATTACAAAAAATTAATCAAATCTATATAAATAATCTAAAAACATATCAAAGTTCTGGCCCAAACTTTTGATCAGTGAAAAAATATAAAAATAAAAATCTAGAAAACTTGTAAAAATTATTTAATTATAAGCAAGACTTCCCAAATTTAATTAAAATTTAAATTAAGTGGTTTAATAATTATAAAAAATTATTTCTTAAAGAAAAACTTGAAGAATTTTATTTCAAACTCAAATTAAGAAACTTTTCCTTCAAGAAATATTTTTAAAAAATTTTTATAATGCTGTAAAAATTATAAAAAAATATTTCCTGAAGGAAATACAAATTTTAAAAAATTTTTTAAAATTTTTATAATGCTTTAAAAATTATAAAAAAATATTTCTTGAAGGAAAAGTTTCTTAATTTGAGTTTGAAATAAAAGAAAATGCTAAAAATTAAACTAGAAAATTTAAAAAAATAAATTAAACTATATTTTCCTTTAAAAATATATCAATAATCTCTTGAAAATTCATAGAAATGATTTAATTATAAGCAGCCAACTCAACTTTTCCCACAGCTTATAGAGTACATCAAAGAGGGAAATCCGTTTCAGATTTTGATGCCTGGTTAAATTGCTTTTGAATCCGATTAACTTACGTATCAAAACTCCAGCTACAAGTGTTATATAAATTGTATAATTTCTGATAACTGTATGCCGAAAATCTGTGGCTAATCGCCTTATATGTGGCATCGAAATGCGTTTGAAAGTTATGGTGCGTTTCAAGTTAAGATTTTGAAGTTTTCAAGTTGGAGTTTTGAGTTCAAAAAACATTTGTTTGGGGGGGCTTATTTATTAAGCGATGGTTTCACTTTCCAGCCAACAAAAAGAAACCCACAAAAATTTGTTTATAAATGTCCCACAATATTTATTATATTTTTGTTGTCATCGATTTGCCCCGCCTGATTGTTGCCTCTCTGGAAATTTATGAGGCTTATGACAATTTGGCTTTATGCCCCCTTTGGAGTTGGGCCAAAAGGTGAAGGGTTGACAATGGGGCCCATAGAATCGAAATTGGCTGGAAGTGTAACAAAAGATCAAAAGACGGTAGAGACCTCGTCTAAGCGATTCCAATTCGAAAGCGAGCAGCCGGAGGAAATTTATGCATAATTTCTGTGACAAATGGGATGGCCGGGGCGCATGGAAAGTGTGAAAAGTGCAGCTACCCATTGATAATTATCATAATTGTGAGGTGGAAAATGAGAGGTAAGCAATAGATATAATAATTTTCATGGTGACAAAAGACCCTCAGGGGTCTAGTATTGTGCTTAGTAACTTTGTTTTTTTGCTCTGGCAACTTTCATTCTTAGACAGACGACAAAGTCACTGATTTGTTGCGGTTGCCGTTTGCTGGATTTGCTGGCTCTGGATTTTCCCAGTTTTTGGGTTGCCGACAAGCTCTGCCTCTGATTATATGGTACGTGCTATTTCATTTGCCGACAGCAGATACAAGATACAAGATACACGGCACAAGACACAAGACACCAAGATGCACAACTGCCAGCCGCAAAGTCAAGCCAGCGACAACATCAAGGCGAGGGCCAAGGCTTGAGGAACCTCGAATCTGGGAATGCTCTTTTTCTTGAAGAAAAAAATTCTTAATAAATTATAAAAAAATAGTTCTTAAAGGTAAAGTTGAAGAACCTTGAATCTGGTAATGTTTTCTTAAGACAAACTTTAAGCAAAAAGGGCTTTGAAAATTATAAAAATATTTCTTAAGGGGGTCTTCTCATTGGGCAACTTTTTTTGTTTTTTTTTTTTTTTTTTTGCATTTATTTATAGCTTGGGATGGTGTGTATATGTCCCCAAAAGGATTTTTAGAAATTCGAAATACTTTAGAAGATACAGCCTTTTTTGTGAAGCAAGTTCTTCGCAAAATGAGCTTTTTTCAAACTTCAAACGCGTTTATCTCGAAACCACGTTTTTCGAACTGGCGGCCATGATATCTCCAGTTCAACTGAACCGATTTTCATGAAACAAAGTGGAGTCGACGCAGAATTGTCACCATTCTCGGGTGACGGAACAGATTTTTTTAAATTTTTTTTCATTTTTTTTTACACTAAACTACAAAAAAAAAGCCCGAAATCGAAATTTTTTTTTGAAAGGCCGCCATTTTGTTTAAAAAAATTTAAAAAAAAATCTGTTCCGTCACCCGAAAATGACATCAATTCTGATTATAACCCCGTTTTTATTTTTCATTTCGGACGCTCTGGAGACCCTGAATCGTGGCCGCCAGGACGACACCTTTTTTTTCGACCACCAAGTTTGAAGTCTCATTACTCTTTGAACAACCCTCGTATCGAGGCAAGAACAACTTTTTTAGTTACTTTGAACATTTTTGAATACAATAAATAAAAAAAGTTTTCAATTATTCTTTGCGTTTTCAAATAAGAATTTTTTTTAAAAGGGTCCAAAAAACGGCTTTTGAATGAGAAGACCCCCTTAAGGGTAAAGTTGAAGAACCTTGAATCTGGGAATGTTTTCTTAAGAAAAACTTGATGAATAAAATGCTTTAAAAATTATAAAAAATATTTCAAAAAGGAAAAGTTAAAGAACCTCAAATCTGGGTATGTTTTTTTTTTAGAAAACTTCAAGAAAAAAGTGCTTTAAAAATTATAGAAAAAATATTTCTTAAAGGAAACGTTGAAGAACCTCCCTCTTTTATAAAAAAAACTTTAAGAAAAAAGTTCTATAAAAAATTTAAAATTTATTTCTCAAAGGAAAAAACCTATGGTAATCATCTATCCAAGACTTTTTGTAATACCATCTTTACTTTTCCCACTATTTATTGATCACTTGAAGTTTATTTCGCCATCGTTCGCTGGTAAGTAATGATACCCTCGACACAAGGTTGACACACCATCATGACGATGACTATGATGATGATGATGATGATCATCAGTGCTTCCCCCAGTCTCAAATCTTCTCCTGCTTCTTGTCTGGTTTCTATGCTTTTAACAACCAGCAATTATGATCCGCTAGCTGCTGTTGCTGCTTGCCTTCCAGGCATGTCAACGCCTAGGACACGGGAATTCTGGGAAGCCATGGAACCTTATACTACTATGTAGGTACTACTATCCCATACCCACCCCCTTTTATTTATGCAAAATGATCTGGCGAGAGATTTATTTGTATGATATTGTTGTTGCCTCTTGGGTAAAAGTGAAAATGAATGCAGTTGTGCGTCGCATCGGTTGTTGCAAATTATGAAATTAGTATTATGTGAAACGGAGTTAAAAGTGTGATTAAACTGGAGCTCACACACATGTGTGTGTGTGTGTGTGTGTGTGGTATAAAAAATACACCTGGCAGCCGCATAATAAGACACCGCAAGTCCCAAGTTGCCGGCAAAGACAATGAAAGTCAACTAAGTGCCGCAAACTTTACAGTATGCGTGTGCGTGTGTGTTTGTGTGTGTGGTGTGTGTGTGTTTGTGTGTGTGGGGGCAATTAATATCATTTCCAAGTGGATGCGGGAGCCACCCGGCACAGAGGCTCATGGGTTTCCAAGTGAGCAGTCGCCCAAATTGAAGTGGCATAGCCAAAGGGGTTAGACCCTTCGATGCTCAGGGTTAAAGAGCAAGGTTAGGCCATGGTTAAGGTCTAAACACTGGTTTTATACAGAAGATAGAAGCTATATATGGGTAATATTTCAATTACAAATAAATACGTTACATTAAACCATAGAAATTTCATGGATTTATATTTAGATTTAGTCCATAAAATCTCTAAGACAGATTTATTTATATATTTCGTTATTCCTAATAACTAATAATATATTTGTATTTTTTTTAATAATATTTTAATATTATTTTAATATTATTTAAATAAATACAAGTATTCAAATGTTTTCAAAAGTGGTAAAACCTATAATTTCAGTCAGAAGTTTAAAAAGCAGTGAAGGAGTCATTTCCGACCCTATAAATCATATATATTTTTGATCAGCATCAACAGCCGAGTCGATCTAGCCATGTCTGGGTGAAATACAAAATTAAGCAATTTTTTCAAATTTTTATAAGGGGTTACATCGTTCAAATTTTCAACAATTGGCAAAATTTGGATTTTTTTAAAATGGTAAATTAAGTATGCAGATTTCTTAAACTAATAAAAACTTTAATAACAACGCTTTTCGAATTGGAATTAATGAATTTTTGGGATAGTTATGATTTTTTAAAATTTTAATTTAAAAAAAAAAAAAAATTAAGAAAAAATGCTAGCCCATTCCTTCTAAATTTAATGTCAAAAGTTAACAAAAATTTGAGTTTTTTTTAAATGGTAAATAATTATTACAATTAAAATTAACTTAACAACGTTTTCCGAATTAAAATTATTACCTTTTTGACTTAGTTATGTTTTTTCTTTAAATTTAATATAAAAAAAAAAAATATTTTACCCATTTTTTTAATTTTACATCGTTTGAAATTATTAAAAATTTTAATTTTTAATTTTTTTGTATGTTAATAGCTTTTTCAGTTTTACTTTAATTAATTAATTTATATATTAAAAAAAAAATTTTTTTTTAATTAATTTATTTGTATTGATATATATATTTTTATTTCTTTTAAATAATCAATTTATATTATTTTATTAATTTAATTTATTTATTTATATTATTTGATTTATTTAATTAATTAATTTATGTATATTTTTATTATTTTATTTATTTAATTCATAAATTAATATTTATTTATATTTTTTGATTTATTTAATTATTTTATTTATATTTATTTATATTATTTTATTTATTTAATTTATAAATTGATATTTATTTATATTATTTCCCTCTTCTACAAGGTTACCTTAATATTTGTCACTTAAACCAATATTTTTTTGGATTTTTTATACAAAATTCCCTTAGATTTTCCTTCGGACCTGTGCTTAAAGCCCGTCATACCCCCTTGCTACCCTCGGCCCAGCGACGACAAGTGCAGCGACAAAACAGCAAATAACAATCCGTTGGCTTATTAGCGGTGGCACTTAGAATCGCAGGTGGAAGTCGAGCTTGTGGCGGCAGCTGGGGCAGGGAGAAAGTCATCCGGCTGAATGCACATGCGAGACGCTGCTGCTGCGTTTGTTGTCACCTATCATTCCACATCGCGCTCCAGCTCCAGCTCCACCTACACCCCTGCATAAACCGCAAGCGCAGTCAAGTCGAGTTCGTTGCCTAAGTCTTTTGTTCTGCCAGCAAAAAAGCCGCCTTTTTGGCTCCAATCACAGTTTCAATTTCAATTTGTAATCAAGGAAATTTTCATAGTAGCAGGGCATTGGCCAAGGCAATTTTTTTTTAGATTTTTTAATACATATAATTTGAGGCCCACGAGGCCATAAAAAGAAAATATATATATATAGTATAGTATGTGCATCTATAAAAGAAAATGAGCTGCTTTGCCAATTAATAGACCATGAACAGTTTGCTAGACGAAGAAAGATGGCGAGCCAAGAAATTGAGCTTCAGTCTTACTGTAATTAATGCTTAACTTATCAAGTTAAAACAAAAAATAGAAAACAAAACTAGCAGCTGATAAATATATAAATTATTTTCTATTTCTGAACAGAATCATCATCAACTTGTAATTAATAAAGCCACTGGCATGGATAATTTGCCAACTATTTCAATTTAAAAATCAATTTGCAATCTCTTTTTTTGCTAGGAAATTATATTTACTATATTATATATTATATATATTTTTGAACACTCTTTTTTTCGACTCACCTTGTAACTCTTTGAATTTATTCCTTTTTTTCTGGCTGTGACACACAATATTAAGCCTTAAACTTTATTATTTTTTGTATTAATTAATTATTTCTCAAAAACACTTCATTAAAAAAACAGGAAACAAAAACAAAACACCAAGTCTAGAGAGTATGTCTAGGATCAGGATTGGGAAGAACCGAACAACCGAACAACCGAAAAACCGAGGGCTATTTATCATTTGAAAAAGAAATGCACAAAATCGCGACGGCAACCCGGCTAACACGTTTTCCAGCCAGTTACAACGTTGGCAACGGAATGATTTGGCCAAATCTGCAGCGGCACTACCAAGGCCCGAAATTATCAGCTGCCGGTCTCTCTCCAGAGCCAAAGAAAGGCCCCCAGAGAGAGAGAGAGAGAGGCTTTCTCTGTGAAAGAGAATAGAGAAAGAGAGAGAGAGCCACTTTGAATACGAATGAATATACCCTACATTAGAGTCGCACTCTTCTCATTTCCTCCAGCTGTGGCTTTCCTACCAACTTGTCCCATTAGAGATGGATAAAAGCACTCCATCATCGGTTAGTTACCATGGCTAAGCTCTGGTCAATCCATGAAATGCTTACTTTATCGGTCCATCGGCACTGCAGGTTGTAATTAAATTATAAAGCCGTAATTGTGGTTAGTTGCTGGACGACCAGCCTAAAATTATAAATCAACTTAAAACTATAGGTAAGTTATTGCCAGGCTTTGGTTGAAATTATTCATAAATTATTGCAAGCCTAAAATTATTAATAAAAATTATTGCAAGCCTTTAGCTAAAATTATGTATCATATAAATTAAGGCAAGCCTCGCTTGTAATTAGCCAATTTGTAATAAGTTTTTATAAATTAAACTCTTCCTCGGAGATATTATTGTGTTATATTTGATTACATTATGTGAAACCTTTAAAAAATTATTCAAGTGAAAATTATTGATAAATTATTTGCAAGCCTAAAATTATAAATACTAATTGGGGTAAGCTTTTTGCTAAAATTATGAATAAATTATAAATTATTAATTATCGAAATTATAATATTTATAATATTTATATACCATATAATTAAAAAGCTAAATGTTCCTCCTAATTATTTATATATTTTCAAGGCGAAATTTTTTTCCTTTAAATAATATTTTTAATTTTAAAAACAATGCCTTTAAAGGCCTAAGTGACTCTGTTTCTAGTTTTTTAAATTAAAATAAATAAATAAAAATATATAAAACAAAATAAATAGAATTAAGTTACTCAGTTCATTGGCATTTAATACATTTTTAAAAATTAAAATAAATAAATAAAAAATATAACAAAATAAATAAAATTAAGTCACTCAAGAAAGGACTTTGTAAACTAAATACAAATTTTAAAAACCTGCCAGGGTCTAAAAAAAACATGTCTTATTCTTAAAATTTTAGTTCAATATTAATGTAAATTCTCTAATTTATATTATATTATATATATAATAATTAATTCTGCAAGTTTATGCCAAATAAATATTTACTTTTGGGCTGCCCTCTTAGAATAAATTAATAATAATTTTTTTGCTCTGAATAAATTATTTAAATTTAAATTTAATTCAATATTCATGTAAATTAATATATTTTGTGATGTTCCAAGTTTAGTTTCCGTAAGTTTATCCTCTATAAATATTTGCTAGTTTAAATTTTATTTGAATTTAGAATTTATTATTATTTAATTTAATTTAAATTCAGATTTTATTATTATTATATTTTATTTAAATTTAAATTTAATTTTATTTCAGATTTTTTTTTTTTATTATTTTTCTTAATTTAAATTCAGATTTTATTATTATTTTATTTTATTTAAATTCAGATTTAATTATTATTTAATTTAATTTTATTTCAGATTTTATTATTATTTTCTTTAAATTAAATTCAGTTTTTATTATAATTTTCTTTAAATTAAATTCAGTTTTTATTATAATTTTATTGAATTTTTATTTCAGTTTTACTTTAGTCAAAAAATGTCATAAAAATCATAAAGCCAGAGTCTTGGGGTTTCTCCTAACAAAATCCCCAAACTCCTACGCAGACGACTGAAAAATCACACATTTTCATCATCATTTGCAGCTTGGTTTTTGGGAAGGCAGAACACACGAGTCCTCGTCCTCGTCTGATTTCCTTCCCCATTTTAAATTTTAAATACATAATATTTTCCATTCACAGCAAGACTTCCACTTTGCCTCTTGTCAAGTTGATGAGTTGCATTTCTGCATTTTCAATTGCATAACAGGGTTCGTTCACTTTCAAAAAAATCAAAAAAAAAATCCAAAAGAAAACAAAAACCAGGTGGCCCAGGAGTGGTGCTTCGCCCACCTGGCCACCAGTTGGCAGACTGGACGCACTGCCTCCCCTTGGCTAAGCTTTTAAAGTCCGAAGTGTGAACCAATGAAGCCATCGCTACCCCCCAAAGGTAATCGTTCCGAAGAAGACTAATTGATTCGCATCTGCAATTAATTTTTTGGGGGGCTTTTAATTAAAGCCAAGGAAAACAAAGGCGAAGAGCGAGTGGCTAAAGATAAAGATGAGTTCAGCTTGGGTAAGAGAATCTAATGATTGAGCGGAGCAAATTAATGTTTTGCTTCTTGAAAACAAAAATTGATTTTAGTTTGTAGTTATGATTATTATTTTTTTGTTTGTTGTCTTCTTCTTGGTTCCGATCATTAGCCTCGGAAGATCCGTAGAATCTGCACTATAAATTCAGAGGCTTCTGGGGAAGAAGACATCACAAACCATTGGAACTCAGCTTCGTGTAGAATCCCAAATCTAATAATCTCCCAATTGCCAGAATGAAGGTGAGCTTGCCAGGATGTCAAAAGGATTTCGTAAGCTAATCGAAAGTAACTCCTCTTCCAGGTCTTTGTCTGCTTGTTGGCTTCTTTGGCTCTGGCCAATGCCGGTGGCTTCCGCGGCGGTGCTGGCGGTGGTGCCGGCGGTGGCTATCTGCCTGGAGGAGGACGTGGAGGCGGCGGTCGTCCTGCCATTGGAGCTGGCCTCATCTCCCATGTCTCGCAGTCGCAGGGCAACACCAAGGTCCATATTGGCGGTGGTGCTGCCGGTGGCGGCGGTGCCTATGGAGCTGGCGGTGCTGGCTTTGGCGGTGGTGCTGCCTCGTATGGTGGCGGCGCTGCTGGTGGCTGGCAGGGAGCCGGACGTGGCGCTGGAGGAGCTGGCGGCTGGCAGGGAGCTGGACGTGGCGCTGGAGGAGCTGGCGGCTGGCAAGGAGCTGGCGGTGCTGGAGGAGCTGGTGGCTGGCAGGGAGCCGGTGGTGCTGGAGGAGCTGGTGGCTGGCAGGGAGGCGCTGGCGGTGCCGGTGGCAATGCCTGGGGCAATCCCGCCGAATTCGATTACACAGTGAACCATGCTTCTGGCGGTGCCGGTGGTGCCTATGGCGGAGCTCGTGGTGGTGCTGGTGGCGCCTATGGTGGTGGCTCTCGTGGCGGTGCTGGCTGGTGGAACGATTAGGAAGTTTCTAAAGGGAAAACTGTAACGAAATAACTGCCGAACGAATCTGAATCAATAAAACAACAACAAAAAACAACAACAAAAATTGATGAGTTTGTGTCTTAAGTCTTTTGTTTTTAAAGGAAGAGGATTTGAGATTATATATGATTCCATAAAACTAAAGTTTTACTGTCTAAAAAGTAATTGTTATTTTAAAAACTGATGCCAATATTTTACTATTAAAAACTACTAAATACCTGTATTTATATTTTAAGAACCTTTAAATTTGGCAGAATTAACTTTTTTTTGACCAGTTTTTCATTTTTTAAAGTTTACTAAAATTTTTAAATAATAAATTTTAACCAACCAAATTTTTAAAAAATATATTAAATATATAATAAATGTTTTCAACCGAGTTTTAACACCCCGGTTCAGGTCTGTGATTTTAAAATGCTTTTTTAAATCAAGTTTAAAAACAAGGCTTAAGACTTTAATTAGGAAAATGTGGCAAAAGTAGTGACACCAGCTAGTCGATGTTTTTACAAAAATTTCTAACTAGGTTTTTACACTTGAAAATATAATTAAGGCGATATTTGAAAACATTAAACGAAAATTTAAGACTAAAGAAATATAAAAAAAATCTATAAATAAATTATTTAAATTTAATAATTAGGTAATATACAAATTCTACAGATGGGAATGAGAAAAATGATTGTGGTGAGAAACTTGGAAAAGGTTGCTATATTAGCTAGTCTATGTTTTAATTTTGTTTTTACTGTAAATTTCGATTTTGTACGATGTTTTTTCTATATTTTTACATGTCAAAATAGATGTCTATCTATGTTTGCGAAAAATTAAAGTAAATTGAATTTAATTTTTAAAATTATTAAAGAATATTTTAAAACTTATTACATTAATTTTTAATGATTTTTTTAAATTTTGTTTTTACTGTAAATTCAGATATTTTAAGATGCCTTCTTGTTTATTTTTACATGTCAAAATATATGATTTTTTCGATTTTTGGTAAAAATTAAAGAAAATTAAATTGTTAAAATCATTAGAAAAAAACTTTAAAAATCCTTACTTTACTGTTTAATGACTTTTTTATAGTTTTAGAATTAAATAAATATTTTTGCATAACTTAAAGAGCCGTAATAAGTGAAAATTGAATGATTTTTTTGTTTAATAAAAAATTCTGACCCATTTCTTAGAGGAGTTCAGCCCCAACAAAGATGCTTCTCCGCAGGAGGCAAAGGAAATAAAGGAGTTTAAGCCTCTTAGAGGAGCTGTAATCAGCGTCAAAACTTCAAAAAAAAATCCAGTCTAAACCGCATCTCTGAGTCTTCATTAACATCTGACCGAAGCACTTAAATCTTAAACTAAAACACTTTTAATTTATTTAATACGATAATAAATATGTAGATTATTAAATTTATTTGATTAAATGTACTAATTATGTAGAAAAACACTACGATCTCAAGCTAAACCATCTGTAATGATCCCGAGGCTCTCTCTATACCGATTCCAATTTCGATCCAACAATGCGATTCCGGAATTCTGTCAGTGCTCCCTTGGAACCATTGGAGTCAGCTATTTCTGCACTTCTTGTTGCAATTAAGTGGGAAAATGCTGTGGCTATTATGGATGTATGTGGCGATGTTAATGTTCGTGTCTGCACCAGAGCAATCTAAACAAATAGGGAATGGGAATCGTATGAACTGAGCGAACACTACACAAAAATAGTTTACAATTTTTGGAAAATTAAGTTGAGATTATTTTCCCTTTTCTTATATATTAGTAATTAATATATAATATATAATAATATTTTATTATAATTTTTATAGCTTATTTTTAACCATTTATTTCAGTGTAGGATAAAGGAGTTTTCTAGGGAGGTGAATGGAAGGAAGCCAACTGTGAAAACGGTTCCCCAACGTCTCGCAGGGCGTCTCCTCTCAACGTCTATAAATAAACAGAAAAATTAAAAAAAAAAGGCAAGCAAATATTCCGCCGAACAGCAGGGAAATTGAAATGAAATGGAATCATCGTCCCAAGTTCGGGATGGAATACTTCAATGTTGTTTTCTTTAAAAATAACAAGACCCTCCGAACTTGTACGGGAAATGAAAGCAAGAAAAGCGAGAAATCTTGTCACGCTGCTTACAAAAACTAACAAAAATTACAATTTTCTGACTGTGTACTCTATCAAAAAGTGTTTACAATCTTTTAAATAATTATTATAAATATTTTAAATAATCTATAAATTATTAATTAAGAAATTAATAAAGGAAAAGGCTTGTTTAGAACCAAAACAGCCTTTATTAACCATATTTTCCGGCTCTTAAGCTGGTGAATTTTCCCTTAAAATATTCTTAAAATATTTTCTGTATATAAAGTGTATTTCCCTATTTTTATTATCACAGACTGAGGCCTGATTCGTGCTGATCTCTCTCTGGGACATGGGACAACACTCAATCGCCTTGACACGCGCTGCTGACAGGCACAAATCAGATGAAAAGACTTCGGCAAGAGCCCAGAAGATTAACCAAAAGCCACTTGATCCGTAGCTTCCCATTCTGCTCCAGGAGTAGGTATGTCCATCTAAGGATGGGAGGGGCGGCACGGGGATGGGGAAGGAGACAATTAAAAGGCAATTCCAGCAATGCGCCTGTTTGCACCTGCCGGCTAGATATCAGCGACAAACGACATTGTCAGCAATGAGCCAGCCCCAACATGATGATTACACTAGTCAGCGGGGAAAATATTTGAAATTATCTAAAATATTTTAAAATATTTTTAATAAAATATAAAAAAAGTCCCTGAAAGTAGAGCTAAAAATAATAAATTTTAAACGTTTTTTTTTATAAAAAATTATAATTTTTATTTAAGTTTTTAGCTAAAACTATCATTCTTCTCAATTAAAAAATATTTTTAGTATTTTTAAAATTAATCTAGAATATTTAAAAATATTTTTAATAAAATATAAAAAAGTCCCTGAAAGTTGAGCTAAAAATATAAATTAAAAAGAATTTTTTATGTAATATAAAAATGTTTGTTTATGTTTATAGCAAAAACTAGCTTTCTTCTCCATTATAAAATATTCCTGGATCTTTTAGAATTGTTTTAGAATATTTTAAAATATTTTCAATAAGATATAGATTACCACTTTAAACATTTTAGCTAATAAAATAAATTTAAAAAGTATCTTTTATTAAAAAACCTATATTTTTTTATGTATACTTCAAGCTTAAACTATCTGCTCTATTATAAAATTTCCTTGGCTGTGTTGTCTTGTGTAAAAATAATAAAAATAAATACAAACATCGCACACATGCAGACGGCGGCACTTCGAAATACTTGAGGCAAATTATGTTTGGGCCTGCAAGTAGATATATATATATCTCTTGTATTTCCAAGTTACTGATGCCGGGTGACAATGTGGAGCATCATCATCATCAACCTATCCTCTGCCTTCTGTTCAAATTTAAGCTGTTAAGCCGCCGCTGACGCCTGGACAGGTGGCAAGAAGAATCGTCAAAGATGGGCGAAGAATTGCGGCAGCCAAAGATACAAGGCATTCTCCAGCATACATTTCATCATGGAAGCGTGCTGGAATTAGCAGAGGAAGCTGGAGAAGAAGCCAGCGAAAGCTGCTAGATATTATGGGGAAAGCAATAAAAGAAAAAGGAAAAGAAAATAGATAATGATACCAATGATACCTCTCTTTTAGCTATAAACTATATTATTATATTTATTTTTTTATTAGTTTATATATTTCTTTGGAAATTAAGCTAAAAATATGAAATCAAGTCAAATGTCTGCCCTGTGCCGCTATGATTCTCAAGTAGTTCAAGCATTGATGGGAAATGGAGAGACGGCCTCTATAGCTTTATGGGTGTAACAGGCAAAGCCCCAAATAGTGGTGGTAAATCTCTGATGAAAAGCATAACCCAAGCATAACAAAACCCCGCCAAGTCAAGACAACAACACTGAGTCTGTATGATTCTTTTCCATTTGCTAGTTAATTTGATTTCCACGTTCTTGTTGCCATAGTTACGGGTATAATAAAAAAATCGTCGAGATTTATGGCTTTTAAATTTTTGCTTCATTCATCCCGGGAATCCTGGCTGATTGCTACCATCCCGAGCCAAAAGCGGATGCACAAATCAATTGTCACTTGGGGAGCTACTCGTAAAATGAAGTCTTCAATAAAAAATGTACTCCAGTGATTGCCTTCACCATGTCTTCATGGTTTTCCCCTCTTTCTCTTTTTCTTTTTTTTATTGTCTGCAATCACTTTCATTTGTGTCATTTGCCCGTTGTTGCATTCATTAACTATTTCCCATATATTTGGATTTTAAAAAACAATTTCAAATACTGGGAATAGAGGTATTCAAAGGTGCCGATCATGAGTCACCTGTTGTCATCGGCCGACAATTGCATGAATGAGCTCCATAAGCTCTCTAATCTCTCTTTTGAAAAGTATATTTTTCATTCTATTTTCGCATCCCATAGTCACACAATAAATATATCGAAAAGCAGAAGGGTGAGAGAAATAATAACGGAAAAGCTTCTATTGAATTTTCTCTCAGTAAATTGCTTTGATGCAAATGAATCATGGATGATTGATGCTGTAAATGGCAAAGGTATTTGGATTATTTAATCGAATTTTTGTTTATTTTTTTGCCTCTAAATCTATCTTTTATATTTGCACTTTGCAGAATTCCTGAAAATTCAATATCTTAAAAAGAAATCGATAAATATCGATACTATTTGGTAAATTTGAAATAGATTAGATGGCTTTTAGATAAAAGGCTTTTAAGTAAAAGCCTCTTTTAAACCTTCTTAATACCAGTAAAGCAGAAAATCGATAAATATCGATATAAAACGATATGAAAGCTAAACCTAAATCGTGTCTCCCCCGCAAAGAGAATACGCCTATTTCAGGTGGGCGAGGGCATTTGAACTTGGCCGATAACTTTTAACGTTAAGCTTTGGCCTCCGTCAGGGCTGTTTCCCTCTCCCTCTTGGCCACATTGCTCTCGCTTTCGCTCTCCCTCTCTTTAGGTCTGTTCTCACTGACTGAAACGTTGGGGATATGTAAATGAATTAATCGTAAATAGCCAGAGTAACTACGAAAATATTTACATATGCGTAAGTGGGTGTCGGCAACCCACACACTAGGCACACACAACAAATGCACTGGAAACAAAATGAGTATACATATAATTAATCGATATTTTAACTTTGATATGTTTGATACGTTGATATTCTGTCTGAGATATGGGAAAAATATTATTGGAAAAGCTATAAAAATTAAATAATATTTATTGGGTATTTTTTGATAATATCGATAACTTTAGATTCGATATTTTTCGATATTTAAATCTACGATATATTGAAGTTTACAACATTTTAAATATGATATACATAGATTGCCATATATTTGTTTATATATTCCATAGGACTTTTCCTTCTTTTATTTTGTGTTTTTTTTTAATAGATTTATTATTTTAATTTTATTTTTTTTTTCAGTGCCTCTAGCACCGTCGCCACGTGCAGAGAGTGGCGCAAAGCTCGGGCTCCAAAGAGCGCTAAGCTTTTGTGGCGGCGCCTACGTCACTGGGCCCTCTGTTTTTTTTTTTTTTTTTTTTTGGGGGGCGAGAGAGCTTTCGCCTCGTGCGCCTAGAAAACAACCCCAAAGCGGCATCGCGAATCAGTCGCAAAAAAGTGTCCGTCGCCAGAACGCTGAGAAAACAGCAAAAGTTGTTAAATTGAGATAAATAAATAGATTCGAAATAGACATTACTAACAGAGAGAGAGAGAGAGCTGCATAAAATAAAAAATAAAACATGAAAATCGAGAAATAATTAAACATAAAGCAAAAGATAGCTAAAAGGATACCAAAGGTAGTTAGGATCCGTTTTTTTAATTAATCTTTTCGTTGTTTTTTTGTTGTTGTGACTGTGCCTGTTTTTGCGTGTTTGCGAGTGTGTGCAGCCTCTTGCCCCTCTCTCCATCATCCAGTTTGTTGTTTGCCTTTTTATCTTAATTACTTGTAACTATTTACCAAAGTCAAGGAAACGGCCAAAAGGATAACAGGAAGCCCCTCTGAGAACGTGTGATCCCCTCCATCTGTCCTAGAGTCCAGTCATCCCTAAGGAAAACTATCCCGAAATCCCCGAACAAGGACGGGAGAGAGTGTGACAAAGAGAGTGTGAGAGAGAGCGGGCGAGCGGGAGAGCAGGATCCACACACACAACCAAAAACACAACAAACACACCAACACACACGCAACAAAGATGTCATGGAGATATGCGGTAAGTGGAAAGTCAAAGGACAACAAAGGGATTCGGGGCAAATTCGGGGGGGAAAGTAGGCTAAGCAAAACAGGAATAGTCATAAAGTCCTCAAAAAACACAGCGAGAAATGTTTGTAAATTAATAAAATGATTAATTAATTGATTAATTTAAATATTAAGGGATTTAAAGTTGACCCAAGGCTGGCATATATTTTATTAATAATATTTTTTCAACAACAAATTCCGAAATCCAAATAAAATAATATATTAAATATTTATAAATCTTTGAAATATTTAAAAAAAATAGTTTTAAATTAATTTAATTGAAAATATAACTATTTTAATTTTAATTTCTATATTTTCTATACTCTAAAAAATATATTAATTATAAAAAGGCACGTCTCTCATTTCCTGGTTTTTCATCACGTTTTGGGTTTAGAATTTCTAGATTTTGTATTTAACTTTAAGGTCTTTGTTCTTTTACACAATTTAATGAAAAAGAAGTAAACTAAAAAAATTCATAAATTCATTTCTTTATATTTTCGTTTCTATAATTTGTATTTTCTTTATTTTGGATTTTCCTTTTCTTTATACATAAAAAAATGATAAAACTTAGAACTTTAAATAATCAAAAACTAATCAATTAATTAATTAATTAATATTAAAATATATTCTTAATATTTTCATTTTTAAAACCAGCCAAAATATATTAAAACTTAAAAACAAACTAAGATATATTTATATTTCTATAAAAATAAAAGTTTTAAATTTTTGTCAGTGTGTGTGTAGAGGTTGAGGGCGTATGGCTTCTGTGGGGATGGGGGGCGTGGCACATGGTTGGGTTTTCAAGTGCCGCGTGGCAGACTTTTTGACGCTATCTCGGGCATCTGTCAAAACCAGCTGATGGCGAACAGTGATGACCTTGACTGGCCTCTCTGTAATGCTCCACATGGCTCTTCCTGCTCCGCTGACCCAATTTGGCCACCACCCAGCCACCACCCACCACTTCACCTATAAACCACAAAAAGCAAACGACACAAAAATAAAAGCAAAAAAAAAAAAAACAAGCTGGCTAAGAAAATATAGAATTTGTTCCATTTTTGTGTGGGACAGAGGGGCCTTGGCACACACATACACACACACACAGCGCCCAGCTGAAGGCCTCTAAATGCAAATGCAAAGTTCAAGTGCCTTTTCAAGGCGTGGCACACCACCAGCCCCTGAAAGCCCCCTCCAAGCCACCTGTCTGTGGCATTTATCAGGCGATTATCCTAGGCATTAACTTGGTTTTGGCGCCTAATTTTTTGGGTCACCTTTTTTTCCCCACCCCCCTGAGTTGTTCTTGGGAGGGACATTGTCTATTTGGGAGCCTCAAATATTCCCAAAATAAAATATAGCCTTTAGCCAGGAATAAATATTTGAACTTTATGGTGGGTTGATGTTTTTCTAAAAAAATTTTTTCGATTTTTTCCCTGAATTTGTACTTGGGAATTTTAAGAGAAAAGTTTAGAGAAAAATTAAATTAAATTCAATTATTTTTTAATTTTAATTCTTTCGGAAAATCTGTAAGATTTATTCGTACTTCATGCATATTTTTATTTATTTCTTAATATCTTGATTATTTATTTAAAATTTTTTAAAATTCTTTTTAAATTTTTTCTTTCTTTATTTTATTTTTTAAAATACCTTATACACTTTTTTTAAAATTCTTTCTTGATTTATTTTAAATTTTTTTCCATTCTTTTTTAATTATTTATTTTAAATTCCTTTTAAATTCTTTTTAAATTCCCATTATTTTAATTAATTTTCCTTAATTGTAAATATTTAAATACCATTTCCCCTAACCATTTTCCATTTCCCTGGCATTAGCCTAAACAAATTAGTGACACTGCAATGGATTTGATTGACCCAAAAAAATAAGGGCGGCTAAGTGGTAATAGGCTTTTGGGCTTTTGTGGGCTAACTAAGGCAGATTACTCATACGCCGCATGGGCCCAATTAAGTTAATTATAAAACGAAAAATCCAGCAAGCTCAGTGAAGCGAATTAAGTTGCTTCAAATTAATTGCTTCAGCTTCCGTGTAATGTCCATTGTAAAGGCTTTATATATATTCTATATATTCTATATATATATATATGTAAAGGCAGAGCTTAGCTAAAATGTCAATGTCATCAGCGTTTTCCTGCTTCTGTGGGCTCAGTGTCGAGCCCATCGAGAGCGCTAATTGAACAATCGATAGAGCACTGTCTATATATATATATAGTAGATATATATATATATATATATTTGTATAGTAGTGGAAGTAGTAGTATCGCAGGTAAACACTATATACTATATATAGCTGCTTTGTGCCGGATTGTGGGCGTGCCGCATCGCAGCTGTTGCGCCTGATTGAGCAGAAAGCGAAAGGCAAACGCTTTAAAATGCACTCAGAGAAAAAATTAAAGCCTTGGCTGGATTGCAAAAAATGTTAAAAATGATTAAAGGGGGTTATTTCATTTTATTTATTTAGAATTTAGGTTTATTATCTTATTTTTACTGGCTATATATATCCTTTAAAAACCCTTATTTTCTCCAAGTGTTGAAGCTGTAGCTGAGCCAGAAGCTGAAGCTAGAGGCGGCCACTTGAAAGCGTTTCCCCATTTGGCGCGAACTGGTAACCCACCCAATTCATTGTGGGCCAAAATGGGGGAGAAGCTTTGTTTCCCAAGCTCAAGGTCGTTCAGCGATCACCTGTGGCCTTGGGATCACCAGTAAATAATTGTAGAAAAAAAAACACTGAGGTTTTAGGGTAAATAGAAGGGGTTAAACAAGAGTTAATTGAAAATTCTAAAAAATATTAACAATATTATAAAAAATCTAATAAAAATATTTAAAAAATAATATACAAATTGCAGCTATTCAATATGTTTAGATTTTGAAAATTTCTATGTTATTTATTATTTATTTAGGAATTTTTATTTTAAAAAACATTTCCCCAAAGCAATGCCTTGTGGTTTGACTTTAGATGAGATATATACTTATATATATAATATATATATAGTACAATCCCATAAACATGGCCCGCCTTAAAAGGCATATTTAAGCATCCACTGAATTGCGCATTTAATTGAAATTTAGTTTTGCAATAATTGAAATTGTTTTCCTCTCGTTTCGTTGACTTGCTCTGCTGGGCTGCCAAAAGTTTTTCCTCGCTTGAGGAATGTCTCTTTCAGTTTTTTCCTTTGCCTTTGCCTTGTTTTGTTTTCATTTTCCTTCTTATTTTTTTTTTTTCATAATTATCTGGGAAATTTTGTTTACATTTTTAGGGCGGACTGGTGGAAGAATTTCTGTTGGTTCGTTGACTGTTTAATCAATAACAAGAAAAAACACCAAAAAACTTACTTGCATGTCAATGCGATTTGCATTTGTCGAGTGCCCAAAAAGCTATGCAGATTATACCAGGCACATGTCTGCCGATATATGCAGATATGCAGATATATATCCGCAGTTATATAGATATGAATATGTGTATTTGTGATACATATAGATTTATCAATGCCAAAATACTTGTAAATATCTCAAAGCTCGCCTATTAATTGTTGCTTTTAATTTGTGTGTTTTTTTTTCAGCTGAGAATTTTCACACTTGAATAATGTTTTGGCAACATATATGTTTATATATCCATATATAAAATATATCTATTTTTGGTAGAAAATTTGTGTGCTCAAGGCCGAGCCAGTAAATTGTTTTTGGGAAAGTATTACAAAAATTTATAATGAATATTTTGAAAGAAGATTTATTAACAGAATTTAAATAATTTATAAAAACATATTTTATTTTTTATTATATATATTTTATGATATATATATTTTTAAAATATATTTTACATCAAAATTGTTTATTTCCCTTTACAAAAATATTATTCTCCATTTAGCAACTAGTTCTCTAACCATTTAATGATGTCATAAGCCCCTTCCTTTTGGCTATTGATGTCCTTTGGCACCTCCGGCTACGGGCTTGACCTCTGCTCTGACACAGTTCTCTGGTTTTGTTTTCCTTTATCTGCAGGAAGTGCAGCAAACTAAATGCAAACAAACTGAAAAAAAGGGAGGGGAAAAAAAAACGTAAAATACCGTACAGAAGGAGAACTGTGTCAGGAGGAAAAAGGACACTAGGCGGTGGCTAGACAATGCAATCAACTAAATAAACTGAAACTAAGGCAAACTGAGGTTGGATGTGGGTTCAGGGGGCGGGGAAATTGTGTGGTTAGAGCCCTGTGAGCTGACCATTACTCAATAGGGTTTCCTGGGGTTTACTTATATCATTAAATAATTTAATTTGTTTAAGAATTATAAAGACATTAAATATTTATACATAAAATAATATATAAATAATAAATAATATATATAGGAATATTTAATATTTATTATAAAAGAAGAATTTGATTTTTTGAAGAATTATTTATAAATTTATTATTTTTGTCCTAATATTAAATATTAATAAATAAAATATTTATAAAAGAATATTAAAATTTTTTTATTATAAAAAAAGAATTTTATTTTTTTGAAGAATAATTTATATATTAAATATTATTTTAATAATATTAAATATTTATGCATTCAAAAATTGATAAAAGAATATTTAATATTTATTATAAAAGAAGAATTTTTTTTTTAAAGAATAAATACAAATTTAAATATTTATCTATTTATATTAAATATTTATAATTTAAATATTTTTCTATTAATATTAAATATTAATAAATTAAATATTATTAAAAGATTATATTTTAAATATAAATACTTTCAATATTAATAGAAAAATATTTAATACCTAAATTAATCTTTACAAAATCAAATTATTTAATATACAAATTTCAATTTGATATTTACTATTTACCTTAGGGCTTTAATTTGTATTCCATTTTCCTATTTTAAAATTTTCCACGCCTCTGGTGCCTCACCTCTCAGGTATTTCTGGGCTCTTTGGCTGTCGACTCGCATTTTAAATCTGCTATATGATCAAATACAAATGCTTTCAGAGCTGCCAATAGCTTCACTCACACGAAACGCTTAGCTGAGGCATTAGGGTGATAGTGAGGCTACACTGGCAAAAAAAAAACGAGAGTTTAGGTGATGAACAAATATTTTTAAATAATTTTATTTGTGTTATAAAATAAGATTTGTTAACCGTAACATCTATAACTTTGATATATTCATTATTTAAACATAAAAAAATATTTAAAATAAACCTAAAAGTTTAAATGAGTAATGAAAAATATTAAAAATATTATAAAATATATAGAAATATTATTGAAAAATATTTTCCGATTAGTTTTGCCTAATTTATTTAATGAAAAACCTTAAAATTTTCACTTTCGTTTTAAAAATCCTTAAAAAATCCTTCAAAAATCAATAATTTAAAAGAAAAATACAAAATTTTGTACAGTGCAAATATGCAGATGCCCCAGCACTCCGATTCCGGCTATATATATGTACATATATGCTGGCGATTAGACGGCAACCAACATTCAATCATGCCATTGTTTTCCACTCGCTTTTCGCTCTTCGATTCCGTTTCCATTTTCCCACTGCACTTTGCCGTGTTTTGTTTTTCGAATTTGGTATTTTGTATATATATCTATATACATATAGTGTTTTCTCCCTTTTTTTTCTCGGATTTGTCGTGTCCAGCTAATTGTCTTGTCATGCGGGCCTCACAAATGAGGGGGCACTTCGCCGGGGGGCCTCGTGGGATGAGTCACAACAGACAACAAACCTGGTCTGGTCTGGGGTTCAGCTTGTTCCAATACATTTTCTCTAAACATTTTTGTGATTTCTCCTCTATAGCTATAGTACTTATTTTTAGATGCAAATCAGTCCTGCTGGGGAGTGGGGGTATGGGGGTGTGGGTGTGTCTTGGCGTGGGCGGGCGCCAGCGTAATTTTCTTGGCAAGGGGGCGCAAGGTCAAGGCGGCGAATACGACGACGTCTCCACAGTTTCGGACTCACCTGAGCAAAAGCTCAGAGCAGCTCCTCGGTGTGTCTCTCAATGTCTCTATTTCCGTTTCCACCTGAAATCGGGCCAAGTTAAGGGGGGTTTATATTTAGTTTTTTTTTTTTTATTTTTATTTATTTTTTTATTTCTAAGCAGATATTTTCCGTATTATATTACATTGGAGATGGTGATGTTTTTGTTTAAATTGTTTATTTATCATTGGGATTTCATTTAGAGGAATTATTAAAAATATTTAAGGAATATTTTTGGTGCTGTTTAATATTTTTAAATAAATACATTTATTTATGTTTCATTTTGAGGGATTTTAGAAAATATAATAAAAATATTTATGATGTTAATTAATATTTTTAAATAATATTTATGGTGCTAATCGTAAATTATATTTAGGATGCTAATATTTATTTTTAAATTAACATATTAATTTATATTTCAATATTAAGAAATATAGAAAACAACAGAAATATTTATGACGCTAATTATAATTTTTAAATAATATTTAGGATGCTAATATATTTTTTTAAATTAATATATTTATTTATCTTTCATTTAATGGAAAAAAAAAATATAAAAAAAATATTTATGATGCTAATTATTATTTTTAAATAAATATATTTATATTGATGTTGGTTTTGACATTGGAAATGTCTAGTTTGCCATGAAACCCTCATAAATATATTTAAATTTATTATTAAAATCCTCTAAAAAATTTTATTAAATTTTTAAACTTCTAAAAAATATAAAAATAAATCTTTTTAAACTTAAGCTTCTTATATTTAATTTAATTTTTATTTGTAAAACCCATTTTTCGAGCTACTACTTTTTTGGGAATTTCTAGTTTGCTAAAGAACCCTCATTTATATTTTAATTTAATATTAAAACCCTGTTCAAATTTTTATAAAAGTTTTAAACATGTAAAAAATTTCAAAATAAATCAATTTATTATTATAGTTAAGCTTCTTATATTTAATTTTCCTGCTACTACTTTTTAGGGAATTTCTAGTTTGCTACAAAACCCTCAGAAATATAGTTTTATTTATTATTAAAATCCTCAAAAAATGTTTATTAAATTTTAAACTTCTAAAAAATATAAAAATAAATCATTTTATACTTAAGCTTCTTTTATTTAATTTAAATTTTTTATTTATAACACCCATTTTTGCAGCTACTCACCGACAGATACAGCAGCAGCATCGGGGATAGATATAGTCCGCACTATTATCAGGTTTGTCCTGTTTTCCTGCACGCAGAATCCGCTTCCCCTTGGCTTCGAGTTTGAATTTCCTGACTAACCAAAGTTCAAAGCTAAACCAATTTTGTATATATGTCTGCTATATATATGCTCCCCTACTTATATAGGCCATGGCAAAAATTAAGGCTAAAAATAATCGCCGCATTTTGTGCACAGTTTTAGAACAATTAACCCATACACACCTTGGGTTTATATATAAAAATTCATTTGCCGAGAGCTACATGTGATCAGTCACAATAGATCAACGGCGAAATGTTAAAGAACTTTGCTTCAAATATATAGTATATATATCTTATATTTGTGATTTTGTGGCGATCTCTTCTCTCTTGCTCATTTTCATTTTCAGGGTCGCATGCCGCCACAAAAAGCAAAAGTTTGCTGAAACGTGAACACCTATTATGACAATTCAGACAGCCAATAAGATGGGGTAGGGAAATATATATACTAAAAAAGAGACAGAGGAAAACAAAAATCAAAATAAAACAGCAAAGTAAAGTTTTCACTTTCTGTCCCTGAGAAAAAAAAACCCTGTGATTTGTCATCCTTTGTAACCAAATTGCGACCTTCGCCTTTGTCATAAATCTTTTGCCTCCTTCCCTGGATTTTTGACTTGATTTTTTGTGTATTTTGTTTGGCAATTGACGCTGGCTTTGTGATGTCATAGAGGAGAATCCTTAGGAGCCAGCCAAAAATGTTTTACAAAATCTAATTACCAAAAGGAGACTGCTGGGAGAGGCCAGGGTCTTTTTGTTTAAGGAGAATATGTGTGTTAAATGTATTATTAAATTTATAAATAAATTTAAGTTAAGCCTTAAGGATATTTTTGGATATTTTAAAGTTGTTAAACAGCTGCTTGTACTAAAAACAAAAGCCCAGTGTTGTCTTACATGTGAAATATGTTTTCAGGAAATCAACAAAACATCAAATGAATATTCATGTAAAAAATTCTATAAATTATAATTATCATTACTTTTCTCTCTGTGTGCAGTCACCCAGCCGCCTGGAGACCTCCGAACAGACCACTGGCCGCCAGCTGCAGCGAGTCCTTCACTATTCGATGGCCCCTAGCCGGGCGCTGCCAGGACTCAGGCGGGCCGAATGCGCCATCCATGACGTTGACTGTGATGAGGTCTATCCGGGCATCTACATTGGCGATGCGTGAGTCAATCAGTAATCTAATCAATAATTTAATAATAATTATTATTAATAATATTTCCAGGGCGGCGGCCAAAAATAAAACTTACTTACGAATGATGGGCATCACGCATGTCCTGAATGCGGCCGAAGGTTGTCGTTATGGTCAGGTGGACACCGGACACAGTTACTACAGGGATATGCCCAGCATTAGGTAAAACTACAATCGATATCGATAACGATAACGAAACGATAACGACAAAAGGCAAACAACATGAACAATCGAAAGGAATTTCGTTCAAAATTTGTTCATATTTTGTTTTGAATCGCATTATTGACTTTTTCTTTATATTTCTTTTCATTTTATTATTTTATTATTGCATAAATATTTTTCCAAATTTCGATGAATCAAAAATCTTTTTCCTTTTTATCTTCCTCTTCTTTTTTGAAACGTTTCTCTCCACACACACCTGAAAATCATGCCATGTCCATATTTCATATTGGTCACCCCACAAAATTTTTGGCTCAACCTTTGTTGTTGCTGTTTGTTGTGTGTCGTTTGTGTGTGTTTCTTTTTGTTGTGTGCGAAAATAGACGCAACCATAAGGACTGTGTTTTTAGGTATATGGGCTTCCCCATGATCGATGCCCCCACGACAGACATCTCGCGGTACTTCTACGTGGCTTCCAAGTTCATCGACAGTGCCATTAGCAGCGGCGGTAAGTTTGAGTGCAAGAGGTGGCTAGCAAGGTAATGAGTCTGGTAAGCAGTTGCGGGTGGCAGGAAATATCGATATTTATCGATATGGTGACTATATTATATGGGAAAATTGATAGATAAAGCCATATTCTAGAGTTTTCGATATATAAATTCGATATTTTAGGATAACAATAAGCAAATCGATTATTTATCAGAATATATAAGGCAGAAAAAATCGATTTTTATCAATATGGTGACTATATTATATGGGAAGACTGATAGATAAAGCCATATTTTAGGGTTTCGATATAAAAATTCGATATTTGAGGATAACAATAAGCAAATCGATTATTTATTATTGTGATATATGGGCGATAAATCGATTTTCCATTTAATATATCGTTTTAAATTAATAGAAAAATAGACTAAGAAATTAAAACAAATGTTCGAATATTTAAAAATTCAATATATCTAAGGTATACGATATTTTCGATTTCTTATAGAACTTTTTCTCTCGATACAACCCAATATATCCCGATACTGAACCCTAAAGCTTACCAAGAATCATTAACCGCCGTCTTAAATCGCCTTTATATACTTTAAATATATCTCCAAAGTTGTTCACTAATTATTTTATTTTCCCCATTTTACCACAGGCAAAATCCTGGTGCACTGCCTGGTGGGCATGTCACGGTCGGCCACCTGTGTCCTGGCCTACCTGATGATCTGCCGGAAGATGTCCGCCGTGGACGCGATACGCACGGTGCGAATGAGGCGCGATATCCGGCCCAATGATGGATTCCTGCAGCAACTGGCCGACTTGGACATGGAGCTCAAGCGCAAGAACCTGTATCCCTACTAGAAGGGGGGATCTTCGGTGTCGCAGGGAGCAACAAAACAACCAAAGAAGGCGGAATGGGATCTCTGGATGCCAGCAACTAACCAAAAATATGCAAATTATTATAAAATGAAAAAAGAGGAAAATTAAAATTGAAATTGAAATCGTTGTTCTAAACAAAAAAGAAAAATTGAAGCCTAAAAAGCTAACGACTTATAATGGTAACTTGGTCTTCTGATATATAAACTGTTCATCCTGTGTAACTGTATAATCGCGGCATATACCCCATTTGTGTAGAAATCACACAATATATATATATACATACATATATAGAAGGGAATCAAGTTATCACACTCAGACTCTCACTCACGCAAAACCCCCCTACACCACACAGAGACACACACTTAGAGACCTAGATTGTTAGAGCCACGATCGAAGCAATAATTGGCGATCAAAAATCGATAAGTATCGGACCTATATATACTACCATATATACCTTGCCTCTATATACCTAGACATACAGATTTATATACATGTATTCCGTATTTTTTTTTTTGTAAGGTTCGAGTTCTGTTTCAAACCCAAAACTTAAAACCCAAACCCAACCCCAACCCCAACCCATCCCCTGGATATACTACATATAGATATATCTATATATAAGAAGAGCTGAAACTAGATCATGAACAATGTATAGAGAAACAAACGAATCGAAACCAGATGCATATATATATATATATATATACTGATATATAACTGTGTAACGGATATACAAAGCATGCGTTATATACACCTATACCATATATGTACGACTATATATATATACACATTATATATATATACATACACCAAGTGTGAGCAATGTAATAAAACCAAATTCATATTTTCTAGAACATGTATGATGTGCAAGAGTCGAACAAATAACTAAACCAAACAAAAAAAATCAAATGATCAAAACAAGCAACTTGAAAACTAAAACTATGCCTAAGAAGTGATTAATAATAAAAAAAAAAGAAGAAAAAAACCACAAAAAAACAAATTATAAAACAAAACAAGAGTTTTACTTGTTGTAGGGAATTTATTTAAGCTAGAAAAGACTCACCAGTCGAGTTAATCTAGACAATGGCTTATAAACATGCTGCTGAACCTCTGCAACATCAATATTTTGGCAGCAACATGTTTCTAGCAACATTTTCCCAAGATTTCGCTTTGTTAAATATAAGTTTTTAAGGATAATACAACAAGCTTATGTAGATTACCTATAAAAAAACAATCACTTGAAACCTCTTTAAAGTTCCGCTGAAGTGTGAAGAAAATTGAATTCGATTTCAATCCCAGCTCCCTTTAACAGTGACCCCTTCCAAGACCCCTTTTTTTGGTGGGGTCTCCCAAACATTAGATGCGCCTGCTAACTGCTTGGAAACACCTGCAGAGGCATCATCTTCTTATCTTTTGCGGCAACTCTGGGACTCACCTCTATGTGCGTAATTAAAACAGATTATATTGGCTACCTGGGAACTGTTCAACTGTAGAACTGGAACCGAAAACTGGGGCTAACCGCATAGTTGACCCTAATTTTTTTTGACTATCAATAACCAAAAACCAAACCGAAGAACAACAAAGCCAAGATTTCGATCGTGCGCACACAGTCAAAACAATAAAATTAATGTCTCCGGTCTTGGGTTCACGGGGTTCACGACGGGGCCGGGGATCAGCGGGTGCCACTTAAGTGATCCCTGGAAATGGAATTCCTAAACTAAAAAAACCCTAAACAGGTAGCAGTTGTTAAAGAGTCGTTGAACAACAAGGCGTTTTCAAGGTACCTATATGATCATCATAAGAATATCTTGGATGCTGGACTCTCTTAGGTAGAAGTTGGTGTCGATATTTCTGAATAAATAATATAGAATATGATGTGTTATAGGTGGGTAAGTAAATGTTAATGGAACTATGTGAAAAATTTGGCATATACAGTTGTGAGTTATTTGTTGATGTTGTTGAAATTGTTGAAATTGTTGTTGTAAAGGTTTCTTTCACTTTTCAGCGTCAAGTATTCAAATAATTTTTGTTTTAAAAATCCCATAAATAACTCATCTCTCTGTTAAAGTTGTTTAATGTTATTGAAAATTTTAAAATTGTTGAAATTGTTGAAATTGTTGAAATTGTTGAAATTGTTGAAATTGTTGAAATTGTTGTTGTAAAGGTTTCTTTTTCTGGTCAAACGCCAAATGGAGATGCAGATATCCAACAGCGTTCTTAAAAATCCAATGAGTAAGGTTAAACTTTATAGTTTCTTGTTGTTTTCCCAGCAATGTCGTAAGCTGCTAAATATCATTTTTCAAAAGCAAACACTTAAGACCCGGAGAACGGTAACCCGCAGCTGCCCCGGCATTGGGCGACACATGTGCGTCGATTTGGTGGGGGTAAATAGATGAGGACTCTACACACACACACACACACACACTGAGAGAGATATATAAAACAATTATTATTATTAATAAGTTAGTTTTGTTGCCCCACGTGCCGTACCCTTACCAATTCCCTAGAAAAGTTGCCCTGGAATTGCGCGCGCCATAAGATTAAGCATGAAAAATGTTTCGAATTTCGTCGCCCGTAATTAATCTTCATCTGGGCGCAATGCTAGCTCCTTCGTGTGGGGCGGATCAACATGCAAAAGAGTTAAATAATTATAAGTACACACTACTCGCATGACGTTAGTAAGGGTAGCAACCCTTTTGTGCAGGCATATGCACTGAAAGAAATATATGGGTAAGAAATATTGCTTTTGAAAATATAGTCGAGGCTAAAATGAAGATTTTAAAATATTTAAAAAAATCAACAGTAGTCAAAAATATTTAAAAAAATTGTATTTACACACAATTTTATTATTTTTATTATATAGATATATTTTAAAGTTAAAAAATGATTTTTTTATATATTTTTTTTTAAATAAGAAATTATATATAAAACGTATAACGTATATCTTCAATCAAATATCGTAGTTAATAAATATTAATATCCAATTATTATATTTTAGTGACTTCCAAATAATGTTTATCAGTATTTTTGTATAGTGTAGCTGCTTCTGTTCCCCTTCGAAACATCATTTTTAAGCTTTACAAATAGTTGAGCAGCTGTGTCCTGCCGAATCAGGAGCATATATATATGGAGATAGTGAATCAAGGAATTACCTTGCTATGGCCTTGTTTGGCCACCTGAAATTCTTAACAGAATCTGCATGTAAATAACTTGTTTACAACTTTTATAACGAACACAAAAGACATCCTTAGACATTGAGATATTTAATTATGATGATATTTTAATTTTAAATATATTTATCTAAGCACTAAAATATATATATGATATTAATCTAACATTAAATTCTTAATTTACATATATAAATTCTTATTCTTTAAAGGTTTTCATGTATTAAAATCTATTTTTTAGGCTCAAACTATTATTTTTGATCTCTTCATTGACTGAATTATATTAATGGTAAAATATACAAATTTTTATTAATCACACACACTTTAATGCAGCCATTTCGAAAAAGTTTAATTAAATTGACCCACCAAATAATAAAGGAATAAAAGAAATAAAGAATAAAGGAAATCCCAACGCATTTTGTAAAGGATTTTCCCTTTTTTTTATCCGGAATTATTAATGAGCTCAGGAGCTTTGGGAGTCGCAGTAATTTGGAAGAGCTTAAGCAAATATTAAATGCAGTTTCTGGCTGGGCAAAAACAAAAATGTTTCGTTCGCTTCGTTCAAAGGGAAAATGCCAGATGGAAATGGCGAGATGGGAAATTTGTGGCTGCTCGACGAAGTGAAAAACAATAAATAATGCAGCCAATTAAAACTTTGGCTGTTTGGCTTCAAATTCAACACCAACAAGGGCAACACCAACAGCAATACCAACAGCAATAGCAACAGCAACAGCTACAGCAACAGCAACACTGACACCAACAGCAACACCAACAACAGCAGCACCAACACCAACAGCAACAGCAACAGCAACAACAACAACACCAACAATAATAACAACAAGAACAACACCAACAGCAACACCAACACTAACAACAACACCAACACCAACATCAATAACAATGGCAATACGTGTGGAAACAACAAATGCAACTACAACAACTAATTGACAAACAACAGCAAATTGAATGCAATAAAGCACATGGCATGTGGGTTAACTTATATGCAGCACTGTCCCGATAACGCCTCCCCACATACATACATACATAAGTGTATCGAAAGCAGACGAATGGATATACATATATGCTCATATAGTATATATGTTATGCTCATCTATCTGGTATCTGGTCGGTGTGCTGTGATGGACAGACAACAATCAATTACAAAAAAAAAATAAATTAAAAAAAAAACAACAATTAATTTTATATGAGATGGATCAGAATTTGTAATACCCTGTAATATGAAGTTTATAATATATATATTTTATGTTTAATTTAAAATATTATATTAATTAAATTTATTGAATATTTTTTTATTTTATTATTTCAATGTATTATTATTTATTATTATTATTATTATTTTTTTTATTTTATTATTTCAATTTATTAAATATTTTTTTATTTTTTTAATTAAATTAATTAAATATTTTTATTTGAAACTATATTTAAAATTGATTAAAATTATATTTAAAAATTTTGTGGCTAAATTCGTACTTGGGAATTTAAGGTGTACTCCAACTTGGTATTCCTGATGTTGCTAGTTCCAAAATGAAACTTAATGTTTTTAATATAAATTCTAAAACTATATTTAAGTTTATATATTTTTTAATTACCTAAATAAATTATTAAAATATTAATTAAATTACAATTAAATTTATATATTTAATGATAATAATATTTAAATAAATTAGTATTTTTGTATGGCTTACTCTTGAATTTTTAAATTATTCAGTCATGAAATTTATTCATTTTTTTTTGAATATTTTATTTTTAAAGAGTATTCAAAATAGTCGGTTAACAGCCTCAACAGTTGACCGAGAAAAAGAAATAAAACCAGCTATGGCTCGTCCAGCCTCTCGGCTACTCGAAATTATTATTATAAACTTCTTCACTTTTAATGGAATTGTTATCAAAACACATTAAAAAAGGACAGGCGAGCGGAATGGTTGAGTGTAGAGGGGAAG